GGACTGTGGGCAATTTTATGTTGTATCTCGGCGAGTTTGACGGTACTCACCTTCCTGATCGACATGCAAAGATTCCGTTATCCCGAACGTCCCATATAATTATACTATTTAATACTTTATTTTTAGCTTTAAAAGTACGTCCTGTTTGTCTATATTTATCCTTTAAAATAAACAAGATGCAAGAATTTAAACAAAGTCTTAAAAAAAAAAAGAGAGTGAAGTGTTTTGTATATTTAATTGATAAGTTGATGTCTTAGTAATGTTAAAGTGCAGTAAAATAAATTTTTTTGATTAGATTTATCTCCCATCTTATGTTTTTAGACAGTCTGGCCGGAGAGGTTTCCTTCTTAAGCTTCTTTATATCACCTTGGAGACTTCACCTGCCTCAGGAATACAGTTTTTATGCGTTAGCGTTAATAGCTATCATTAGAGGCAAGTCAAAGACATTTATCCTTGATACTTTGATCTGTAAAAATTTTTTTCTTTACTCCAAAATCGATAAAATTACCGAAATTCTACATTATAATATCTAAATAAACATGTATACACACCGCATCTAACGTATCGTAAATAAGTAATAAAAGAAATTTACAAATGGACTGTAAGTTAATTTACCGTGACGCTTTAAACCTTAAAAAGAAGTGGAGGAAGTTCTATCTGCATGTAGTAATTTATATTTTAAATCAATTTTATGCACAATATAATTTATTTTACTCTTATAAAAACTGGAAAAATTCTTAAATTACTGTTTGAGGTCTCCTCTTTTATTGTTTGTAGCAAATTTTATGGCTTATTTTTGTATTAAAATTTTTCTGTATATAAATTTCGGTGTTAATTTTTAAGAAATTTCTATTATTGCTTCCATCTTTCTGACGTAGTTCGGGAATTTCGATGATTCATTTCGATCGATTTTCTTAAGAAAGATAAGGATTTAAATATACACAAAAGCACGAATATATAGCCTATATAAAATTTATAGAGTATACTTTTTAAGGCAATCGATACAGTAGTCTTATTATTAAATTCTGATATGCAGAAGTATAGCTCAAGTAGTGTAAGAGGAGATGCTTTCATGCGTGTAGAAAGCGCAAACATCAGTTTCATACAATTTTTTTTTTTCTTCTTCTTCTTCTTCTTCCTGGATTTTTTCCTTTCCTTAATCAAGAAGTCGAACAATGTTAATTGAATTATATAGCATTGGTCTAGGTTTCTAGATAAGTGGGTAGGTAAATAATTAGTAAAGCAATGTTAATGTATTCAGGACACATTTCATTGTTTCTTAAAGGAAAAATCAGAATCGTGTTATTCAGCTTGCATACAGCCACAACATCTCTAGGGTCTTTCAATTAACATCTAGGTTTCTGCCTTTCTTCTTTTTCTTTTTTTTATGCTATTTATCCTGCTACAACTGAGGAATTCCAAAAGAGAGAGAAAGCAATATAATTTCCTTCGGACACGTACCATTGCTGTTTATCTAATCCGGTAATTTTATCGAATCTGTCGAATTATATCCCATTATTACATAAACAAGATCAAGTGGAATATCAAAGAATTTTATTAAATTTATTTTTTTTTAGTTAAAAAAATTATATTTTATTTATTTCACGTTTTGAAAAATTGTACTCTTGAGATCCATCGTAAAATCGTAATTGATTGAAACGTGTGTGCTTCTCTACAAAGTGCAAAGTTTTCTGGAGTGTTTTCAAAAGCGAAATTGATTGAAATGTTGAAAAATAAATATTGTTATTTTACATCGACTGTTTACTTGACCAGGAACAGGTCCTTTTAGAGAAGGGTACACACAATGACGAGTGCATTCCATTTGTCTATATACGTCACTAGTTTAAAGCTTTTCAGTAATACTTGTTAAGTTCCCTACGTGAAGACTTAATGGATCAATTAGTTGAGGTTTGGCACTCATTTCTATCTCCCTCTTCATAGCTACTGTCACACGTGCAAACTCGTCGAGCGTTGGGGGGCACGCCATATTGCTTCATTGTGGCAGCCTCCTCTCGGAGACACCCCTAACGTTCTATACCCGGGAGGTTTATATTCTTCACACCCTCGACATTGTCCGATTTTCTGCAGTTGGTCTCTCCCAATTGGGGAAAACTAACAAAAGAATCGTCAAGGTGGCCTCCACAGACAGTCTTGACAACTTTATTTTTCTTTTATCCCCACTACTCACCTTACACAATTGAACTTTCTGTTCAACTTTAATCAGGACTGAAGTGTTTTGGGACACGTTGAAAATTTATATTTATTTTTAAACCTTCCACACTTGAGATCCTTTCTTTAAATTAAAGAAGATTGTTTAAAGAAAACGAAGATTGAAGTACATTTTTTTCAAAAATATGTATTTATATATATGTGTGTGTGTGTGTATGTATTCGAAACTATTTATTTGCTTATTTTGTAGCATTATACTCTGCTCCACTGACCTCTCTTCCTTTATTCCTTTCAGACACTCAAGAACTTTGTCCTATGTTATCGTCGAGATGATTGGCTGATGTTGTTGTGACGTCAGCGGGGTGAGGCCGCTTTGCGCATGATTAGAAAAGTGAGTAGTAGTGAAGTTGTCAGCTGTGCCAGTCCAGTAAAGAGAAGTGACTATTGGAGCGAATACACAATAAGTGTTTAGCACAGTAAATGTGATTGATCTTTAAAAGCATCACACCCTACTCGTGGCTAGCATGCACGCTGCATGCAGCGAACTCATGACGTCAGTGAAGTGTACACCAAGACAATATCGGACTGATTAGGAAAAAGCCGCAACATGTCGAAATTCGTTCTTATTTATTGCTCTCTTCTAATAGTTCTAGTGAAGTCGCAAGATGCATCATCAAACAAAGAAAGGTGTGAAGAGATATCGATACCTATGTGCCGCGGAATTGGGTATAACTACACATCCATGCCCAATCAATTTCATCACGACACGCAAGAAGAAGCGGGATTGGAAGTACACCAGTTTTGGCCTTTGGTGGAAATTCAATGTTCCGATGACTTAAAATTCTTTTTATGTTCTATGTATGCACCCATCTGTATGGAAGATTATCCCGGGAGATTGCCCGCTTGTCGTTCTGTATGCGAGCGAGCACGATCCGGATGCGCACCCATTATGAGACAATACGGATTCGCTTGGCCGGAGAGAATGAATTGCGACGATTTACCGAAATATGGCGACCAGGAACGATTATGTATGGACGCGAAAGAAGGAGCACCTCCCGAACAACCCCCGTCGATAGTCCAACATCCGAGAGCCAAGGACGGACGCGAGAGAAGACCGTCTTACAGAGGTCGACCTCCATACCGTAACAGAGATAGGCACGATCTTTTACCTGGTAAACGTCCTGCTCGAATTCCAGTACAAGGAATTGCAGATTCCGAATGTTCTTGTGACTGTAGATACCCGATGGTGGCCATAGTCGAAATGGACGATCGCAGATTCTTCAACAAGGTGATCACCGGCGGTGTGATTAATTGTGCCACCCCGTGTTTCAGCCCTTACTTTAACAAAGACGAACAGACATTCGCAACTTTCTGGATCGGACTGTGGGCAATTTTATGTTGTATCTCGGCGAGTTTGACGGTACTCACCTTCCTGATCGACATGCAAAGATTCCGTTATCCCGAACGTCCCATCATATTTTTATCAGGATGTTACTTGATGGTGTCGATCGGTTACTTAGTTAGAATCGGTTTGGGGCACGAAGCTGTTGCGTGCGACGGACCTATCATCAGATATCACACCACGGGCAGACCGGCCGCTTGCACTATTGTGTTTCTACTAATCTACTTTTTCNCTAAAAATTGGATTTAAAATATATATATTTTTTTAATTATAAAAAATTGAAGATCGATTTGTAATAACTTTTTTGAGTTAGAAAAAGATTTTATTATTATTTCCAAATTTTCCTTCTTCCTAATCACATTCATAAATGATTTTCTGTTTTTAAAAAAGTAAATAAAAATGCTTTTATTTACGATAAAAATTTAAAAAATGTAATTTATTTTTTGCATATAAGTCTAGATAATTTATATACATAAGAAGAAATGGAAGGGTGGAAAAATATATAATATTTTTTCCACCTCCTCTCACTGCTTATACGTAGAGAGAGGGGTGGAAAAATTAGTTTAAATTGCCTTCTTTTTTTGGAAGAAATTAATTAAATTTCTATTTTTTTTAATATTTATTTTCTTTATTTAAATTTTAAAATATAAAATGATTTTTAAAGAATCGAATGTCATTTTTTCGGAAATGTTTTGGAATATTTCATCCTATTTTTCTTCTTTTTTCATGGGTATTTTCAAGAGGAAAGTACATTTAGAACTGAAAGGTTTTTAGGGCTTTGCTTCTTTTGATGTCTTCCATTGTTTTTAGGTTATATTCTTGGGTAGAAGATCTGTAAATTTTGTCATTTGTTTTCTTCACATGAGTTTTCACTCTGAATAAGAATCAAAATTTTTCAGAAATGATGCGGGACACTGAACTAAAACAAGTAAAACAAAATTACAAAAAATCCATTTAGTTGAACGAATATCTCAGGATGCTATTTAAAAAAAATTAAAGAAAACATAAAAAAAACCATTCTTTTAATCGAGTGGGATTTTTTATTATTATTATTATAATTATTATTATATCCCAACCATTATCCTGGTTTTCCTATTGGTGACGTCGCAACGTTAGGTTGTATGGTAAAAATTAGTGAGATTTGAAGTATACGTGTACTCGTCAGTTTAAAAACTAGTCCATATTTGGCACAACCTCTACGTCTCGAAACTGTGATGACTTATTAGAACACTATCCTTTTCTTCTCTTTCTCTTTCTCTCCATTAGTGTCTACTGAAAAGAGCCACAGATATTTAACATAAAAAAAAGGGACCAAAACTGTTTGAAATAATGAAAAATAAATAAAATAAATAAAAATAAAATAAAGTGACAATCTTCGGACACTAATGTATATATGGACGAGATGGATAGTAAAGCGTTACATATAATGTTTTAGGGTAGAAAAGTCAAAGTGTTAGTCCTATTTCTAGACATCCGACATAGTTGGCGACGTGCCAAAGACCATGATGTCAATGTTTTTTCAAATACTTCACCCTCCTTTTGGCTTTCATCCCCCCTCCCAAAAGATTTTTTCTTAAACTCCTCTCGCCTTTCTATGACTCTATACAGTATTTCCTACTTTTCTAAAATGATTAGTGTTTGTAACTATGTGTGCTATTTAAGCTTAAAAACAGGGTAAAGAAAAAGAAATTCTTTTTTCGACTATTGTATTTGTACACAGTAAAATAATAATAATAATAACAACAAAAAAAAGAAAAAAAAACCAAAAATACATTTTTGCTGTATGGTTATATATTGTATATAGATTCTGTATTACGCCTTCGGTGGATTATATAAGAATTTAGAAGAACGAGCAGGGTTTTTTAAACAACAACAACAACAACAAAAAACGGCGCTAACAGGGTATATATTGTATTCACTTTGTTCTCTGAGTTGTTGTGTTGTGAGAATGTGGTTAAAATGTTTGTTTATAAAGATTTTTGTGAA